CCCATAGGTTTTCAAATCCCCAAATTAAAAATCCAATCCCAGAAGAGTCTGAAAGCTAAGGAGGACCAACACCAGAAGAAGTCCAGAGAAGGAACAGGATAAAACAGGTTCAGCTTCACCGGGTCTCACAGTCACCATGCTTCCTTCCAGGCGCCTCTGCTTCTGCTGTCACCCAGGTAGGAACGGATCCTACAGTAGGGAATAGGATCTTTGATCCTAACGACCTCTCCCTCGGAAACTGAGACCCACATCAGTCGCAGCAGCAATAACTACATTTTTATGGTACATCCTTTAAATTATGGTAACATCCTTTAAATTTTCAGAAGGGCCAAAAGCTCTAGTGTCCAGGAAGAGTGGCAGCTGTATGAAGAACTGGTGTCAAGCACGGAGGAGCTGAGGGATGGCATGATGACGAAGCCTAGGGCATGAGTTTTCCCAGCCGGCCTGTGGTCGGCCCTACTCCTTTGTCCCCGTGCTACATGGCTGGCATCACCCCAAATGGAGGCTGCTCTGAAATCTGAAGCCCAGAGCGCAGCTGACAGGGAGCAGGCTGCAGCTGGCCCGACGCACACATGCGGCGCGAATAGGTGGTCTTTGAGGTGTGGTCTTTTGCTGCTACCGTGTAACCTACCCTTTTCTGTTTTATGCACATATCTTGCTCTATATTGGTTTTATAAATGTACCCCATATCTCATTTGATTTGTACCCCAGCTCCTAGCACAGTATCAATCACATAATAAGCACTTAAGTGATAATAAATAAATAAAACCATTCTGAATTTCATCTGTTCACTAACAGAGCTGGAGCAGATAGTCTACAAGATATCTTCAGATACGATTTCTGTACTTTCAGAAATAAAGATTCTGTGTTTGCTTCTGAAACACCCACACACCAAAGCTTCATTTCAACCTGAATTTTCTCTTCTAGTGAGAAGCTTTTGTACATGGCTGTATTTGCTTACAGTATTGTAAGAACTGCCTAAGATGTTAAAATCCTAGTGCAGTCAGCCCATATGGGCAAGAAGTTCAATGCCTTAACTATCTCTGGGTGGTATCTCCCACCTCCGCTCACCACTGTTGCTGACTTGGGCAAGTACACCTGCTGTTCGAAGACCTTCTGAAATTACCTCTAGGAATCAAGTGCTTTGAGAATGAGGCTTATAATTAAACAGCAAATGAAATTTCCTATAGTTTTATGCACAGGTCTTATCTAATGCCTAAGCAGATGAATTGTGTGGTTTAAAAGTCCAAATAAAATCAGGTGTTTATACAAGTGAAGTCTCTGCTCAGCAACCTTGCTTTATTTTGGACCCAACCTAATTTCCAGTGCTATTGTCAGAACACCTGCCCAAAGCTAATGTGATCATTAATCAAGATATGTTAACCTGTGGATTAAGAAACACCTAGTAAATTGGTTGTGGTGCTGCACACCTGTAATCCCCACATTCTGGAAGGCTGAAGGAGGGTCACAAGTCTGAGCCTAGCCTGGGCAACTTAGTGACTTAGCAAGAGTCCATCTCAATATAAAAAATAAAAAGGCCTGGGAATATAGTTCAGGGTGAAGGCCCTGAGTTCAATTCCCAGTACCACCAAGAAAGGGAGGGAGGGGGGAGGGAGGAAGGAGGAAAGAACGAGAAAGAAAGGAAGGAAGGAAGGAAGGAAGGAAGGAAGGAAGGAAGGAAAGAAGGAAGGAAAGAAGGAAGGAAGGGAGGGAGGGAGGAAGGAGGAAAGAAAAAGAAAGGAAGGAAGGAAGGAAGGAAGAAGGAAAGAAAGAAAGAAAGAAAGAAAGAAAGAAAGAAAGAAAGAAAGAAAGAAAGAAAGAGAAAGGAAAGGAAAGGAAAAGAAGAAATGCCCAGTGTACTAGTCACACACAGTTCCGGGTGCATCTGTAGGTTGTTTCCAGAGTTGATTAGCACGTAGGCCAGCAAACTGGGGTCGGGGGAGGCCCACTATGGGGTCATGCGTGGCACCAACCAATAACCTGGCTGAAATAAAGGGAAAGAAGGACATCGGTGTGCATTTCTAAGCATTGCCATCTGCTTGAGCAGGTGCATTTTTTGCTGCTGTCATTTTTGCACATCACTTTCCCCGGTTTCCTCGGCCTCTCGGTGCAGACTCCTAGCAGCAGCTCTCCAGTGAGTTTCCCTCACTCCAGCCCTGGGCTGGTGCCGCACCCTTGATCCCGCTTGTTCTGCAGCTCCCGTCCTCTTGGGCTGAGCAGCCCCTGGACCCTGTGTCTCTCTGTCATGCAGGCGGCATGTGGACTCTCCCTCCTCTGGCCCTGGAGGCCTTCCTTGCATAATCATGCATCTATTTCTACTGACTCTGTTCCGCTAGAGAACCCTGACCAGTACAACTGACATAAGCTCAACTCCACCGAAGTAACTGCCAGAGAAACATAGACTATTAGAGTTGAGATGGACCTAAGCTAACTCCTTATCAAAAATCTTGGCTCCATGCGGAGTTAAAATCCAGAAAAGTAAAGTAACTGTCCCATGCTCACACTAAGGGGGTAATCAAGGGGCTTCAAAGACAAAAGCTACGATTTGAGTGACTCATCTCATGTAGGTTTTTAGGGAGAGAAAAAAGTACAGAACAAGTCCAAATATCCTCAGCTGTCAAAGGAGAAGAAAAATGAGACAGAAAGTCTGGAAAAAACATGAGTTAAATTTCTGTCATTTTGAGTGTACAGGGTCTGTTTGCTATCCAGACAGCAATGTCAGGTAGACAGGTGAATATTACAGATCTAAAACGGAGAGAAGAGGACAAGCTACAGGGCCGTGAGAGTCATTAGCCTATCCAGGCTGCCTGAAACTACTACACTACGAGAAAGATGAGAAAGGAAACCAGGAAAGGAGAGTAACTAGAACAGAACTAGCCAAACATCAAGAGATTTGATAAAAATAAAAATAACAAGGAGTTTACTAAGTACCTTCAAGTAAGTGACAAGATGGGGGAGAAATCCGGACAGAATGCTATCAGTGAAGGCGGGGGCGGAGGGGGTTCAGAAGTGGAAAGACGTTCCCTAGTTGGGGTGCACACAAACCAGTTGCTTCTCCAGTGTTCGTGCTCCCCTTTTTCTCACTAACAAAGTCTGACTTTCTTTTAGAGCAGCAGTGAATCTGGGAAACAAATAAAGACTTGAAATCCCAGGCTCCCTCCTCTCCAAGAGCTTACCCTCCTGCCCTTACAAGCGGATGCCTGTCTATTTGGTGGGGCTCTTGGAATGCAAGTGTTTCCCCGATACAAGTGGCAAACACCTGGCACCTTCCTTTTTCCCTTCCTCCCATCCTTCCTTCCTTCCTTCCTTCCTTCCTTCCTTCCTTCCTTCCTTTCTTCTTCCCTTCCTTCCTTCCTTTCTCCCTTCCTCTCTCCCTCCTTCCTTCCTTCCCTCCCTCCCTTCCTCCCTCCTTCTTTCCTTCCTTCCCTCCTTCCTTCTTGAATGACTCTTGGCCCAAAAGTGTAGGAGCTATCTCACAAGCATGAGTGCAAAAGACACACAAAATAGACGATGCAGTGAAAAATGAGACGGTTCCGAGAAAAACGGTCCGTGAATTAACCTAGCTCCTGAAAGAGCGAGCAAGTTGAGAAAGTCAACCTCCTACCCACCCAGCCCTGGCTGGCTTCACTTGGCCCAACCCTTAACATCCTTCAGATGCACTCGCTTCTAACCACGCCGCTGGCCTGCTGCTCAGCGGCCCAGGCTGTGTCTTACCAGCGCCTTCCTAACGAGTCTGCTTGCGGACTGAACCGCTCGGGCTGGTCCGCTACTCTACCGTCACTGTCAAACACTGAATGCTTTTGATTGCGCTTAAAACGCTTCCTTGTTCCTTCTCCCTAAAGGACGAAGTCCAACGCCCCACAGACCGTCCTCCAGGACTGGCTCCCGCCTCGCATGGTGGAGGCACACTACGAAAAGCATGTGAACAGGGCCCGCGGGGAGCAGCCCTGCGCTGGGAACTTCCCACTCCGTGCCCCCTGACGGGGCTCGCTCATATTCTGGGCGTCCGCGTTCCCGTTTGACAGCGGGGACGGCCGACTCTCCGGAGATGGATGGACTCGCCCAGGGACGCGCCGCTCGTTTATGCGGAGCAGACCTGGTTGTCGAAATTCTTCTCCAGGTAGCACCCTGGACACCGGAGAACGCGCTTGCCAGCACCCGCTCCCCAGCACCCTCCGCGGGCAGCCCTGTTACACCACAGCCGAGCTCCTTCCCGTCCCGGGCCAAGAGCCCTCGTCCCTCGGTGGGGAGCGAGCGAGCGCCGCGCTGGGACCGCGCGCCCCTCGGTGCCCGCCAGGGCGGGCTGAGCCCGGGGGCGCGCTC